GTTGGTGTTACTCGTTAAGGCTTTGACAAACTCCAAATACTTGTGGTAATATCCAGCTGCCTTAAGGATGCTAGCACCTTTGCGGGATGAATTTAAAGAACAGTCACTGTAGGTGACTGTGGATTGAGGAATGATTTCACTCAACCTCCTAAACATCAAACGTATAACCTGCACATTATAGAAGGATATAGCGATATGATCAATGCATATCACTGCTCAATGATCTGATTTCTTAGTGAACTTTACTCGGTTTTAAAAAATGAAAACCGAGTTAAGAGCCGCTAAAACTGTAGAACTCAAAAATTGACGTAAAGGAAACTTCAGGCGAAATCTTCATTAGAAAACCCGGGATTCAGTTTATTTCGAATATCACTATATGATAATGTGCGAGGTTTTTATCCTTGGTCGGTTCCCTTAATACTAGCCAATGTTTCCCTTTTCAGTTAAGTGATGAATCCAAACAAATTCCTACAATCCGGGACTGAGACCAATAGCCAATTTCTCCTATTGAGCAGAGATTGGTTAGTCGTTTGAAACACCAGTGTTGTTGAATTTTTTACAGCAGGTTGGGTTATAAATAAAATATCTACCTATTCTAGATTACCAGCTTCGGTGATCTGTGTCTATGATTGCAGTCTACTACTGTTGAACGGAAATGGTGTGACCTCATACGTTAAGTTGAAGTTTCACCCCATTATTTATACCCTGGTTAGATCACGCCTCCTGTTATTGTATAAAACGAACATGATGTAAGTGAAAGGATATCTAAGTTAAAACAGTAGGAAGATACAAATTGAGACGATTGTTGCATGTTCCAGTTCATGATGTGTGATTGGTGCGTGTTGGAACTATTCGACGTTGGTAAGGATCGGCAAACTATTCGACCTCGGTAACCTGTTTGCTAAATTATTTGCTTCAGACCTTGTAACACTTCACAGGCCCTACAAACTGTATACTGGTATGACAATGCAATTCTATCCCTGACCAAGTCTGTATGGTCACTGTAATGTCACAGGGCTCAAGCCAAATGGTCTGGAAGTCGAGCCGCTAAATGTTGAACGGTCTATTGATCCTCGTTAAGGTTTAAGACATTATATGTACATCAGTTAGTTGCATGTCATACACTGACCTGTTTGCTGGTGCAGTTTTTTATAGCTACTCTTGCAAATAAATTTCTGCAATGACGTCGTCTGTGTTGTCTGAATTAAATAAATCTAGAGGTTTTAGATTCTTCTCAGTACATTAGTCAGAATTTAGTTTAAAATTAACCACATTACTTACTTACGCCTGTTACCTACAATGGAACATAGGCCGCCAACCGCCATTCTCCAATCCACTCACTCAGTACTGGGCCTTCCTTTCTATTTATATACAACTGTTGTTCATTCTTCTCATATCTGTTTCCATTGTTCACAGTAGTGTGTTCTTTGGTCTTCCACTTCTCCTTTGACCTTGGAGATTCGAAGCCAAGGCTTGCCTTGTGAAGCAGTTGGGTGCCTTCCTCAACGTGTGTCCTATGCACTCCCAGTGCTTCCTCTCCCTCTGGATAAAGTCTGGTTTTTTCTCTCCCACAGTAACTTGTTGCTGGTAGTTTCTGGCCATCGGATCTGAAGTACCTTGCGTAGAAAACTGTTAATAAATACCCGTTTCTTCTGGATGATGGCTTTCGACCCATACAGTAGATTTGTCTTGACTCTCTTATCATACCTCCGTCTGTTCCACTACTAAATGTTAAGCATTGATTATCGTACATATCCGAATGCCTTGCAGCTCCTCGGTTTTTTTCTCCTCAGAATCTTGCTCTGATAGTGAAGCTATGTAACTTCTGACATCTGGAACAAGCTCGACGAGCGCACCAGACGCTCTACAAATATACTTTATAAAAACTTAATGCAACTTAAAAAGTTGCATTGCATAAATACTTAGCACGACCGAAACACTTATACACTTTTTGTCGAAATTGGATCTGGTATGTAACGTGGACACGATACCCCTTGGGAAAATATTCTGATGAAAGCACATTAATCTGAACGAATGAACTACAATCAACTTTTATAGATTGTATTTGCCAAACAACCCTGCTTGGGATGAATGCTGTGAACCAGTATATGTTGTAACTTGTAGATCATACCTGCAAAAAATGGAGCGTGTCTGCCCTTCCAGAAATATATTATTATTATTTATGTTGAAAATTATAACTTTGATGTTGGTTCACAATTGTTTTGAGCTCCAGATGTTCCTCAGTTATAAATATGCTGTTCTTGCTTTGCCGATCCTTGCCCTCATATCTGCATCTGATCCACCTTGTTCATCAATGATGCTGCCCAGATATCCTCCATATCCTCAAAAGCTCCACCGTCAAGTGTCATTTAATTGGTGCATGCTGTATTGTATCGGAGAATCTCGCCTTTACCTTTGTTTATATCGCGACCTACTGTTGCTAAGGCTTCTGCTACATTGTTCGTCTTCTCCTGCATTTGTTGTTGTATGTGTTAGAATAGCCGGATCATCTGCGAAGCCTAAATTGTCCAGTCGACCACCAGGAGAAAGTGAAAGGGAGAGAGTAGACAACCTTTCCTGACGCATGTCAATTGGCTTCCATGTACAATTTCGCAGTTTAATCCACCATAGAAATTCCGTATGATATTGACTGTCTTCTCAGGCACACAGTATTGTCGAAAAAGCCTCCATAGTGTTGTCCTGTCTACGCTATGAAATGCTTTCTCGTAGTCAATGAAGTAAAGAATCCCACTCAATTGATTGTTCCACAATGATCCGTAGAGTTGCGATTTGGTTGCTGCATGATTGATCCAGCCTGTTGGTCTCGCAGTTGAGTGTCCACAGAGTCCTTCATTCTGTTTAACAATACCCTGTTGAAGACTTTTCCTGGTGCTGAAAAAAGGGTGATGCTCCTGTAGTTATCACACTTGCTGAGATCGCCATTTTTGGTATTTTGATCAGGTGTCCTTCAATCCAGTCTGTTGTTACATATTATTCATCCCAAATCATACTCAAGGGAATGTGGAATATCTTTGTAGTTAGCGCTACGTCTGTTTTTAGTGCCACTTTTGATTTGTCTGATGGCCATGCTGATCTCTTCAATTGTTGGTCTGCCAACATTGATCGGGAGGTATGTGGGTGTTACTACGATGTTGCGTGGGTTCAATGGAGTTGGTCAATTCAAGAGTTCTTTGAAGCGTTCTACCCACCTGTTTCGTTTTTCTTCAATGTTGGTGATTACCTTGCCTTCCTTGCTTTTCACTGGTCTTTCTGGCTTACGGTAATTTCCAGCAAGTTTCTTTGTTGTTATGCAGTTGTTTCACGTTTCCTTCTCTTGCAGCCTTTTCCGCTGTCATTGCTAAATCTTCCTCATATTTACGTTTATCGGTTATGATGCTCCTCTTCACTTGCATGTTTACTTCTGTGTATTCTGCTTGTGCCTTGGTTTTTTCTGCTCTTGTTCGGCTGGTATTGATTGCTGCATTCTTGTTCCTCTTTTCTTGAATTTTACCCAGTGTATCAATAGTGATCCATTCCTTGTGATAGTGAATCCTGTGGATCAGAACCTCATTACATGTTGAAGTGATTTCCTCCTTGTTATCTTTCCAGTTTTTCTCCATGGTGGTTCCTCAAAAGTGAGTAGATAATGAAAGGCCTGGAACCTATTACTGAGAGCTATCTTGAATTCATCGGATGTGTCAGTATTCTGAAGAATGACTGGATTAAACCTTTGTGTTGTTTTCAGTCCTCTTGTTCAGCGCTCCTTGAGTTTTAGTCTCATCTTGGCGACCAGCATGTGATAATCTGATGCTATATCACCTCCTCTTGTAGTTCTCACATCCTTCATCGTCCTTTTGAACTTTGTATTGATGTAAATATGACCGATTTGATTTTGTTTAGTGTGATCCAGTGAAATCCATGTAGCTTTGTGTATGCGTTTATGTGGGAATATAGTGTCACCTATGACCAGTTTGTTGAAGGCATATGGGTTTGCAAATTTCTCACCATTTTCGTTCATTTCTCCCAGTCCATGTCATCCCATAACATCTCCGTATCCGGTGCTGTCCATTCCAACATTGACATTCAGGTCTCTCATCGGAATGGTCAAGTACATTTCTCGACGATTGACTGCAGCCTATAGTAGAATTGATCTTTAACGTCTTCATTGTAATCGTTGGTAAGCGCATAGCATTGGATAACGTTCATTGTAATGCGCTCTTTCTTTGTTTTCAAGGAGGCTTTGATGACCCTGGGTCCATGACATTTCCACTCTATAAATGCTTTTTGTGCCTGTTTGGACAGCATCCTTGTGTATGTGGGGCATTTTCCTCTTCGTGGCCGGAGTATAACAGCAGCTCTCCTGCAGTTCGTCTTTGTTGTCCATCTTGCGTCTAAGCACCTACAGGTTGTATCTTTTCATTTCGACCGCAACTTGGATAGCGAGTTAGTTTTCCTTGCTCAACCCTCGTCCTTCATTAGGCAAGAAAGCTCGGAGTGCTCTCGGAGGATTTGTGTTGCACAGTCATCAAATTAGCCGTAGCACCTGGACACGATGAAAGGGTCTGAACCGTGAGATGCAGCTTCAGAGTTGCAGCAAGCACTTCTAACTCAAGTAGGCCCTAATAATTCTACGCAGATTATATATGTTAGTGATCTACAAGTCTAAGAAACCTTAAGGATTTCTGGAGAAAATTTATTGCTTTCACGAAAACCTAAGAAAACTCTTGGCATCTATCATTATCTAAGCCCATCTTCTTGTCATGAAGCAGCCACTTGAAGTTATATATGGTCAGTCTCCACCAGACAAGAAATGTCATCACTAAAAAACGTTTTTGCTTCATCGACTATCATTTGTTATGTTTTATTCGTGTGACTAGCGGGTAAATGCGACAGGATAATCGGACTGGAGTTTTATGACTTAGTTAACTAAATATTGCTAAGGTTTCTACATGGAAATATCGTACAATGTTCATTGAGTATTGGAACCCGTAAATTTTTGTATGAAGCGCAATAATTGTAGAGTGACGGTACCGGTGGGTTTGTTGGGGCTTCATGCAGTCAGTGTACCTCCTACTGAAACTCCTGTTTTTTTCCTTTGATATTTTTAACGTTGCAAAAACAAAAGAATGGAATACTTTCTGCCAAAAATTGTCTATTGATCTTGTCATATTTAAATGTCATACAAAGGTATAATTTAATGCTACATCAGTTCTCAGGTGAACTAGACTAATATAGATTGTTTGCAACCCTAATAAAATGTTGAACCCTGTGCTGCAACTAAAGACACTGTTGACTATACCGGATATGTCCAGAATGTAATGTTTGGGCCGTTTGTTATATTAGATTATAATAATTATCATCACTCTCTGCCTTTATGTAGAAAGTGCTAATCTTTAGAGCTGTTCAGTTTACGTTGATCCTCCTAGTCACCTTCGAAATGGTTTACAGGCTACATTATTTTCTGAGTGACATTGCGTAGGAATCGTGCTCATTATCTTATTGAGTTTGGGTTGAAGTCTGTAATTTTTGAAGGTTTCAAGCCGATTAAGATGACACGGAAGTAACTCATATTCTTGTGACCACATTCGAATCAGTTTGAACGCCTGAAATATTAACCTCTGCAATCACTTAACAATTGACTAGGGCTCGGGAACAGAAAATTTAGGACAAATAGTCCGGTTTCTTACTTCGATGCAAATGCACCGACGAATCATTTCATCTTTCGTTAGTTCCAACTACACGCATACATTAATCCTTTCTTGACCTTACGGCAACACGACTTTTTTAACGCAGAGGTTCTGCAATAATATCTACCACTGAAAAGTTGGTTTAGGTCAATGTATCAGATGTTTATGAAATTTACTTGTTTTTCAGTCGCTAAGACAACTTTTTTGGGTATGAAAATGTTAAGTTGTTCTATCGGCAAACTACTGAACGAAATGAATGTTCTATAGAACCACATTGGTTGTGAAAGGATTGGTTTTTAAATTCGATAGGCGATTTCGAAATCCGACCTGGTTCTAACGTTGATCCTTCTCAATGTTAAAGTGGGACGATTTAGCGGTGGTCTAAGTGTCACTGTTGGGAGAGTGCCTACGTACTTTGCATTCTACAAATCGAGGGATAGCTAGTCTATTTTTATTGCCTTGTATCCAGAGTACTTAGTGCTACAGTGCGTTATCTGTATTGAAATCTTCAGGAAGTAACCTGTTTGTATTGTTTCTTGTCGGTTTAGTTTTTTAATCTAGAAGTGCCACCTAAAATATAGCTCCTGCTCCACTAATTAATTGGAGTGCATTCTCCTCACTAATTATGTAGAGGTCCCATACTGACCTATACTTTTGTATATAATGTAAGTGCGAAGCTTTAAATGGTTTGCGATATATTATCCAAGGTTATTTTCAAGCTTTATTCGATCATACATACATATTTGTGCTTAACCTTTACTTCAAAATACCATATGATGTTTATTTTGAAGCGTCAAAAGTAGCGAAGAAATTTCAGTGAATCTTCTTGCTTCTCAGTGGACAAAAAATTTTACAACCGACAAATGGAAGAAAATTTCTATCCTTCTCTGGATAGAGTTACGTTGCTCGATTATATTCCTGATCTAAAAAACAGTCCTCTTTCAACTAAGACTCAATTCAATTCTCTGATCTAAAAAGCTGCGTAGTTGGTTTTCGCTACTTTAGTCTACTGCGAATTAGGACAAGCCAATTTTCTACTGGGAAGGCTATAGTAGCATGTGGTAAAAATTATTAGAGTGTTAGCTGTTTGCAAGAGTCAGTGGATAATGTATGTCTTACGTTGTCTCTCTAAGAAAGTAATAAATCAAAGGATAAAGTGTCTAAAAGCTTATTCCTGTTAAAATTTGATGTCCAGTACCTAAAGATTTTATTTATCTATGCACTAAAAAAAGTACTGTGGAGTAGCGCTCTGTGTAGCTACATCCCAGAGTAGTAGAATTAATAACAGCATCAGTAGCAGCAGCAAAATATATTAGGTATAGAAAGATGAAGCATGATTGTACGAAAGTATTACTGATGATTATGATCGAAAAAATAAGTCGTTTTGGTAAATTATTTTGTGACTATGACCATGTCAGAATAATCTGGACGTAAATGAGACATAGTCTATTAATTAAAGGACGAGTATACTGCTCAGCAGTCCGTCCTGTTCTACTTAACGGCTGCGAAACGTGACTGTTAAGGGTAGACGATACTCGTAAGTCATTAGTATTTGGTCACATATATCTTGGAAATATTACCAGCGCCTGCTGGGATCACTAGGTAAACAATAATGAGGTTAGACACAATGTATTAGGGAATGATGGTAAATCAGTTAGTGAGATTATGAATCTTTATCAACTGAGATGGTTGGGCAACGTGTTACGTATGCCTGAACACCAGTTACCGCGGTGCTCACTACTGACAGTTTGGAAATGGTTGGAAGAAAGTTAGAAGCCGCCAAATCAAAACGTGGCATTGGTTCATAAAGTTAATAACTTCTAGCCTGAGCCATGTTGGTGGTTGCAGACTACTTGGTTGGGGTCCGCACGACTATTGTAACCAATGGTCGGAGACTCTGGGTGACATGGCTCAGAATCGATCACAATGGCGTAAGTGTATACACTCTTTGTATGCCGTGCGATTAAAATTATACATTTACCTTCCTTCCTACAAGCTAATTCTATCTTCCTGTATTATATCTTTACATGCAATCTTTTATATATTACTCAGTCAGTCAGTCAGTTACAACGTAGAACTTCGTACGTACGTACATCAGTTCGAGTTGCCATACCACATTAGCACAGAGATGAAGTTGTCCATTCAAATCCCATATTGATAGAAGTAGTAAGAGTATAAGCATTAATGTGGAAGATTAGGGTTTGAAGATGTTATTAAAGGAGTATAATACAATGAAATAAATTTGGAAAGAGAAAAAGGATACAGACATGAATAATTCAGATTAGAATTTGGTAGAACACAAAGAGTGGATGCACCTTCGCCATTGCAAACGATTTTGAGCCATGTCATTCAAGGTCTCTAACCATCGGTTGCTATCATCTCGCGAATCCCAACCAGGCTCAGTCTACTTGTCAGTGACTTCATTGATTTATGCCATGTTTTGGTCTGGCCGCCCCTAGCTTTCTTCCAACCTACTCCTACACCATGAAACATTGCACGTCGGGGTAGTCGGTGGTTGGGCATACGTAACACATGTCCCAGCCATCTCAACTGGTGAAGTTTCACTACTTCATCAATCGATTTGCCATCCTTACCTAGTACCCGTTTCCTAACATCTGCATTACTTACCCGGTGGTCCAAGGATATACGAGCGATGCGTCGAAGACACCTATGACCAAACACTAGTAGCCTACGAATATCCTCTACTCTTATCGGCCATGTTTCACATCCATAAAGTAGGACGGAACGGACTGCTGCACAGTAAACCCGTTCTTTTGTTGCTAGACGGATATCTCGAATACGCCATAAATGGCGCAAGTTGGCGAAAGCTAGACTACCATTGAAGTAACTACTTCTATGAATCTGGAGTTCATCTTGTTGTGCTAATGAGGTATGGCAACTTGGACCAATACATAAATGTGCCCGATCATACGTTGTAGCTGACTCACGAGTTGATCGACCAGGTTCTGCAGTGTTGGGGACAAATGGTTACTTCCAACAAATTCACCAGCCGTTACTGCCCCCAAATACCCTGGTACGGCCGAGAGAGAGAGTTCACTCTCCCTCTCGAAATGCTCTCACACGGCCACGCGAATATATAGCCTCTGCCAGGAAAGTCCTACTCACTGCCTTCTCGTGGCGGGGGTGTTGTTTACGAAATTGAGAGTACGAAAAGCGAATGTCCGGCGCTTTAACCGGGTTGGTGGATGTGGAGGATCCACCTAGGGGAGTTGGAAAACTCTGATTCCAAACCAATGGTGCACAAGGGCTCCAGTATCCTGATGGAATGAATGGCTAATAAACCTATTGTTGGTCACTGGCTACCATGGGACTGCATCTCCTCACGATGCTCCACTGCCTTGTGGATCAGACCTTTAGGTCAAAGGCTCAGGGTGTGGCCCCCTAAGAAAACCACCTGCTTCGGTTTGGGCACCCGGGCAGTATCACAGCCCACACACAAATAAATGAAATGATGAATTCTATTGACGATACTATTCTCGCTCATATTAGAAGCAAGACAATTTACACTATTATTATTATTATTACTATTGTTTACTACGTCGCTTTTTCACTCCCTTTATTCCCAAATTGTGTATCCTTCCTTTCCAACTTAGGCAGTAGCTCGCCCATGGTGAAAACTCTGTCCCATCTAAACGATCTCCAGTCACTGTCTGGTTGAAAGTGAATGCTTCTACCGATTACGAACACTGAAGCAGTCTTTCTGAAACCACGTACGCCGTTCAAGCTGGCTTGCTTCAACGTTCGCAAACTAATGCAGATCGGACAACAGATAGGGCTGGCTATGTCTTTAGAAAGTCTTAATGTTGATGTTTTCTGTCTATCCGAGACCCGTATTCAAGACTCTAGTGAAGTACAACAAATTCGTTCTCCATCTGTCGCTTCGAAAAGCTTGTTTCACGTGCGCTTATCAGGGGACTCTGTGGCATTTTCGTCTGGTTTTGCAGGCGTTGGTGTTATTTATTTATTTATTTAAACACATACATTGGTACAAAAGGGCACCAGATACATATGCGCCACACAAAATAACGAAAGTATTAAGAGAAGGGATGAAAGGCGAACTGAAATGTACAGCCAGAAGACTCTTTCAGTTAAGAAAGTTAGAACTACTCTTTATGTAGAAAGTAAAAGAAGGTTACAGCAGGCTCGCCACTGGCTTCTATTCTAAGCCATATCTGATAACGTCTCTAGCCACTGTGTTGCACCATCTCTCGGACCCCAACCAGGGAGTCGTGAAGGTCCAACAGAAGCTAGCCCTTTGCAGCTTTCTTTCATGCCACGACACCATGTCATACACTGACCTCCTCTCCGCTTTTTACAACCAGTCC